ATCTCCATCAGCAGTTTACCATTAGCTGAAGAAATGTGATTCTGGGATTGGAGGGTATAAATTAATTTTTTAAATAGCATTATTACCATCAAAAAAATATACTAATTATAACGATAAAACTGTGCTGGACTGGGTCCTTTTGTACTGGATGGCATATGTCCATCAGCAGCTTACCATTAGCTGAAGAAGTATGATTCTTGGATTGGAGGGTATAAATTCATTATTATCATCAAAAGAATATACTAAAACCGAATTATAACGAGAAAACTGTTCTGGACTGAGTCCTTTTGAACTGGATGGCATATGTCCATCAGCAGTTTACCATTAGCTGAAGAAGTATAATTCTTGGATTGGAGGGTATAAATTCATTATTAATTAACATTATTATCATCAAAAGAATATAGCAAAGCCGAATAATAACGAGAAAACTGTCCTGGACTGGGTCCTTTTGAACTGGATGGTATATGTCCATCAGCAGTTTACCATTAGCTGAAGAAGTATAATTCTTGGATTGGAGGGTATAAATTCATTATTAAATAACATTATTATCATCAAAAGAATATACTAAAACCGAATTATAACGAGAAAACTGTCCTTGACTGGGTCCTTTTGAACTGGATGGCATATGTCCATCAGCAGTTTACCATTAGCTGAAGATATATGATTCTGGGATTGGAGGGTATAAATTAATTTTTAAATAACATTATTATCATCAAAAGAATATACTAAAACCGAATTATAACGAGAAAACTGACCTGGACTGGGTCCTTTTGAATTTGATGGCATATGTCCATCAGCAATTTACCATTAGCTCAAGAAGTATGATTTTTGTATTGGAGGGTATAAATTCATTATTAAATAACATTATTATCATCAAAAGAATATACTAATCCAACTTCAAATTAAATATAATAATAAAAAACAACGTATGAAACCTGCGGCAAGCAGCACTGGAGCCACAAAACTTTCCAGAGCAAGCAAATACCAGTACGCACAAGCACCTCAAACAAATAATTTATTACGAGGCAAAGACGACCTTGGGCTGTATCGACTATGAAGCCGACTTGGCTTTTTTGTTTTAAACCCGTCGACCTTCCTTTGTTCCCACTTGTCTATTGTTTTCAGGTGGGAAAGGAAATTCAAAGAGAAGTTAGAAGCCTGCCCTGACGTGTTTTGGATAGAAATAAAATGAAGATTTATTTAGGTTTTGGAGAAAATCATATCGTATTGTGTACTTTTCACTCAGATATACCCGTTTAAAAAATATACTGCATAAACGATGCAAACATAGAATACTTAAAACAAAGAATACTTACATACGGTAATCGCAAAACATTTTCCCATGCACGTTATCAATCATATCGAACTTGACACTAAAGCCTATAAACCTGACTAAATTAAATTTTGGCAAAAATGTTTAAATTAATTGTATAATTTAAGATACCGGTTAGGCTCTTCATTTTATTTCAAAAGGCAAATGATTTTAACAGATATTTAATTTAGATTAAAGCTGCAAAAATTAGTTTAAAGCGATTTTTTATGATTAATTTTTAAATTTTTTTTCTGTACTTTTGATTTTTGTTGAAGATCTACCGAGAATTTTGTTCTTGTATGGAATTATAATCTAACAAACCCGGCAACCCTGTTCGGCTACTCCTTTATAAAGTTTTTTCGGCCTAATTCCTTTGTCACCGCCGCCGCGTGTCGGGGCGACTGGAAGGAAGATCGTACAGTATTGCCATTTCATAGAATTGCACTTGCTATTTTAGAAATGATTTCAAAGTTCTGCATGTTACTTTTTGTTTTAGAAAGAAGTTGTTATGTGCCTAGAGAAAACGTTCTTAAAATTGTTTTGTACTTTATTTAATATTTCATTAAGTAGGCAAGATAATGGGATTAGAAGAGTCGGGATTTAGGATAAGCCAACATAATTTTGATTTAACAGAATGAAAAAAGGTTATTATTTGAGAATTATCATAATGTCAGTCATTATTTTGTATAATATCGTGTTGTTGTTCAATCTTTGGGAGTAATTCTCGTTTTTTAGTTTTAACCGCAAACATTTCTTTTAAGAACTAAATTTTCGAGTTTTTCTATTGCATTTCTTGAAATAGTACGTCGAAAATATATGCCAAAGCGTTTAAACAGTCGAAGCAAAGAGCTTGTAGCTTTCCTGATAAACTATTTTGAACCTTTCAAAATTATTTCTGCTTATTTCGATTTGTATGATAATCCGTTACATGTTAAGAATTTGGGCTGAAAAGTTTGAAAATGATGAAAATTGTAACTATTTCTTGTGGAAAATAAACGCTTCAGGGTTTGATGGCCTCTGTAGTTAAAACCATACAAACACATGAGTCCTTGACTTGTGCTTAGGAATCGAAGCAGACCCCAATTTTTTTCTATAATAGTAAAACTGTCATATAGAAATACATAATTTTTCTTTATATTATTTGTTCATAATTTGTCTTTATATGATGGTCGTCTAATTAATTAAACAACAATTGATTAAATGACAGTATAGTTCATTCTAATAATTGTATTAAAATTGACTATACTGTTATTTCGTGTAATTATTTAAATGGTTATCACATAAAGACAAATAATGCATAAATAAAATAAAGAGAAGTTGTTTAAGTAGGTACATTAATTATAATGTATTAACATATTTACATAGTTTGTAATAAAAAAACTATAAGTAGAGATATTAGTTATAAACTAAATAAATATACCAAGAGTCGGCATTTCTGGTCTTGGGTGCCGGTTTTCATGTGTACGAAGAGTACGGTCGACACGCTTAGTAAAATAAGATGTTCTGAATAAAGACAGAAAAGTATTTTTCCAAGCGCATGGAATCTAGCATCAGGTTAAGTAGTTTTGTAACAAATACTTCGCATTTTTTCTCATTCCGACTTACTAGATTGCCATAACGACTCACTCCTATACACGTAAGCGCCGACCTAATGGTTCGCTTGCCAGCAGGGTATTTAGTTTATATGTTAATACCATCAATACATATATCCCGAGTGGGTCTCTAAAGTGGCTCACCCGGTATTCTATCCTCTGAGTGAGGCAAGATTTGGCAGAAAATACAATTTAACTGTGAACTAAAATAATAGACACAACTTTCACTGTTATTGATCCTCTCGTTGAACATTGTATACTAACAAAATTGTACAAAAATTACTTTTACATCATATGTTCATATTATGCGTCCACGAGCATCACACCAACGAAAATTTAACAATTACAGAATAAAAACAACAAATTATTAATATTAGTATTGTGTCGATAAATTTTCAAGTTTATAAATGCCATTTTATGGCCATATTATAATAGTATATTGTTTTATTAGTAAGTAAAAATTCAGTCAGAACCTCGCAATGGGGTCTTTCACTATATTTTGGAATTAGCATAATTAAATAAAGCAATTAATTCTAGAATTTTCTGCTATCTCACTTTCGAAAAATTTGAAGTCGTTCTTAAGAAAATAAATAAAAACAAAAAAGCCCAGAATAAAAATCCGCACTTTATTTTTAATACGTCACACCTGGCATGTTGAAAAGCGGCAACACGGCCGCGGCCGGGCCACCATGCTGACCCACCACCACCTCCACACAAGGCTATTCAACCTTTTCCAATATGGCGGAGTTAGAAGTGCTTTATTTGGCGCGTATTTTAAAACCTGTTTTATTTCCAAATAGACATTTTTCACACAAATGTCGGGTTAGATTACGTAATATTTCACTAATTTTTTAATATACAGGGAGTCTAATGCTCTCCACATCAGTATGGAATTTTTTGTATTATTACTTTTATGAAAACATCAGTTACTTTTTATAAAAAGGTTTGCTTTCTCAGAAAATAGGTAGATAGTGTACTAGTGTGTAAATATTCAAACTTGAGGTAGCATATATAGGGGGTGTTCAAAATCATCGGAAAAAGAAATAACCAGAAATATATAACAGAAAATAGCAATATAAACTAAATATTCAATTGCAAACACTTACCTACCATAGTATTAGAATTTACTGCACGTTTGATAAATATATACCTATTATGGAAGTTACTTGTCTTAGTAAAAGCCTTGGTAAATGCTCTTGGAATTATAAACTACACTGGCTTGGGTCAAAAAATATGGAATATTTTTTCTATGTTTTGCAGCATTACACAAATGGGAATAAATTTAAACTATAATAGGTGAGGATAACTAAAAAATATAATATGTGTTTCGAGATTTTATATAGAATAAAAACTAAATACCTTTTTATAACGTCATTTCTTTTTTTTGCATAGTTCTTCAATAAAATATTGGATATTCTGAACAAGATGGATTTAATAATAAATTCTGACGTATGTGAGGGGCAATTGTGCAACCTAAAAAAAGACTTACATCCAGGCCATTTATATTTTCAAATGTGAATGTTGTCAATATCTTTCTGTGATCTTTTTGATGTAAAAAGCTTGACTATTCTCCCAATATTTTACTTATAGTAAGGTAAGTGTAAGCAGTAGCCATAACTACATCCTCACTAGGGTAACAGATGCTTTGGCCTTTGGCCTTTTTGAGGCATATTTAGTGCACTTCTTACTTAGCGTAGAAGTTTGTTACTATAATTTGAATGTAAGCAATCAGAACGTCAAAATTAGTGGTAGGAATTTTCAATTAGTACAAAAAGTTATCAAACTTTTAACTTTTCCACTAATTATACTTCAAAATTTTCGAAAATTGTTTTTTTTTTAAATATTGTGAATCATCGTAAACAGTATAAAAGTATAAAATGTAATGGAAACCACTAATTTATTTCACTAATTGCAAGGTTCTGAATGAAAAGATTTACAGACAGGACACAAAAAATACATTTTTACCCTGAATAGAACATTTAAAAAAATTAAATATAAGCTGACTCACTTTCACTTATAAAGGAAAGAAATAAAAATAAATCCGTGCTTTTACCGTCCCATACAAAATTCATAAGACTGGCAAAACCTTTTTTCAGGTGTCCTGGGTCAGACATCGGGACGTCCACTTACTGACCGTCGGCCGGTATACGTACACGAGCGACCAGCGCTTCAGGGCCATCCATCAGTCCCATTCCGAAGACTGGACGCTGCAAATCAAGTATCCCCAGCATAGGGACTCGGGAGTGTACGAGTGCCAGGTGTCCTCCACCCCGCACCTCAGCCATTTCATCCATTTGACTGTCATTGGTAAGTAACAGATGATGTGTGTGGAAAGTTTGCGGATGTAAAAGATGAAAAATATAAGTTTTCTGATCGTAATACTTCAGATTCTGATTTTTTTCCATAAATTTTCGAATTTTGATATGTATTTACAGGGTGTTTCAAGTTTTTGGTGGGAAGATTCCTCACGTAAAAATAAGATTAATTTTTCATATCAACATAGGTCCGATTCTGCTTTGTTTCGTAGCTACAGGGTGTTAAAGCCTTTATAATTCTCGATTTATTATACTTTTTTTCCAAGTACTTTTATCGTTTCGAATGAAATTTTGAGGGTAAAAGTTACTATATCTGCTACATATTTTAAACTTTTTTTCTTTTGATATTAAAATTGTGTAGGCGGTTTAATGCCAATTAAAAGTTATCTCTTGATATTTTGTCGAATTCGGCCTCCTTGATGAGATAAACGCAATTTCATTAATTACAATTAATGAAATTAAAATAAAAATAAAATTAACAAATTATATATTTTACCTAATTTATTATTAAATATTATTACTATTAGTTATTGTTACTATTAGTCCAACATGCAGTAATTTCAAGTAATAAAATTATGGTATTTAAAATAATTACTAAAAACCTAATTTTAAAAAGTTTTTACAACCAAACCAAACCATACCCATGTTTATGGGAACTTTTTTTCATATTCTTTGATGTGGAATTAATGAGTACTCATTTAAAATTTCGCAAGTTAATGATATTATTTTTTTTAACGTTGCTGTTAGACTTGGATCAAGGCAAATTAATAAAATTGCGATTATCTCATCAAGGAGGCCGAAATTGACAAAATTTCAAGAAACAACTTTTAATCGGCATTAAACTGCTTACAATAATTTCGCTAACAAAAGAAAAAAAGTCAGTGGCGTACATGCTTTTTTTATAAAAACATTTCACTGATAACCCAAATGCACGTCGCTGGTGAATATGGCAAAAATGTTTAGCCTTTTTTAAAATATGTCGCGTTTATAGTAACTTTTACCCTCAAAATTTCATTCGAAACGATAAAATTACTTGGAAAAAAAGTATAATAAATCGAAAAAATATTAAGATTTTAACACCCTGTAGCTACGAAATAAAGCAGAATCGGACGTGAATTTACGTGAAGAATCTCCCCACGAGAAATGGCACATGTTATTTGAAACACCCTGTATAATATAGTAATTTAAAATTTTAGAGAGCTACAGAAATATGACAACAAAAATTTCAGGCTTGTCGAATCAAAGACAACGATTGCTCTAATATTTCTGTACTGCTTTAATGCATTAAAAATGACACTACATTGAATATATGTATGATACTAAAAAGAACAGATGACACTTCAATGGAAAATTTAAAAGAAAATTCCATTTTCTTTATCCTACCAACACAAAGCGTAAATTCTACATTAGCACGAGAAAAAAATATATAACTCCCGCTAGGTTTGGTTTGGTCTCGCCTGTCAAAGATGGGACTCCATTAAAAGCAGGGCTGTCGTTTCCCTTAATAGATTATGTTCTAAGGGGATAGAGGGTCACAAGAGTTAGCCTGTCTTAGCCTGTTTCATTCAATTTATAATTGGACTAATACAGGAAAATTTCATCTTTTGGTAAAATGTTTAAAAATAAGATATTAGCCAAAAATGGGACTTATCTTATTAATTGCAAAATTTGTAAAACCTCATTCAGCCCATTCAAATTCGAGAAATCGGTATAAAAAATGCCACAGTTTTGAAAATGGTTTTAAATGATTTCTCTATCACAAATAGCTGTAAAATTAGTTCAACTTTAATAACTAGTTTTTATTTTGTGTCAGTTGAAATTAATAAAAGGAAATTGCCAAAAATGGAAACAGATCCTACATCAGAGAGAATTGATATGATTGTCTTAATTGGTGACTGCAGTGTGCATTCACCATTTAATAGAATACTTAAATGTTCCAAATTTATCTAGTCTTGACTTTTTTATTGGGGTAAAGACAGTGTTTGCAAAACTCCACTATTGTCGACAACATGAGAGAAATGATTGTGACTGGCTTTTCGAAGTAAAACTTCACATATTATTATGCCTTTTAACATGAAAAGGTCTGTTAGTGTTAAAAAATGATGTTCGTTACACAAATCTACTATAACTTACCTTAATTACGGCCCAACCTCTATCTGTAAATCTGTAGCTCATTTCTCGAGACTTCTCTGGACTGCTCTGGAGATATTCTGTCCCTTCATAAGGATCTTATTTATATACTTTTAAAACACTCGTGCTTATTTTTACTAGAGAAATAAAACTGCCGAGTTTTCAGAAAACATTTAAATTTAATATGAAAGAAAAAAATAAAGAACAAAAAGAAAATATATATAAAAAATTAAGTTACTCATTATTACTCAAAATAAAAAAAAGATGGAAAAAATACAAGAAAATTGTCTGGCGTATGCTTTTATTGAAAAATATGATAATTATATATATAATCAATTAAACCTTTCATTACTAAATCTTGCTACAACACATTAAAATAATTTTAAAGAAGAATAAAACGTAAAAAGTTTTTGAAACAATTTTAGAGTAAATATTTTGTACATCTAAAGTCTCCGCAAATTATTCATATTTTTTAATTGAAAGAATTTAATAATAGCATAATCTCTTATAAATTTAGTGGACTGTATTTTTTTATGTTTTTTTATTTATTTTTTATTATAAGTGGTCGTAATATAACAATATTCAAAATATTATAGACAAAATATTGAGTTTATATTTGAGGGAAGAAAAGTGCCACACCTAGCTTTAAACCACCGTAAATATACAGGGTGGCCCATTAGTGCGAGGAAGTTAATATCGTCGTCGTTGTCGACGATGTGAAAAAAGTTTTATTCATATGTTTCAAGGCTTATAAAGGGGTGTATCCTAAAATATTTTGTTATATACAGGGTGTCACAAAAAAAGTTATGGTAAAGTTTGATTTTTTTTATTATTTTACATCATTCTATATACATTATTCTATATTTGGTATTTTTTATGGCGTCACCAAAATCGCAATATTTAAAACGGTATATCTCAACTTTTTTAAATGCGACATTCTGTATATTATTTTTCTGTCAGATGCAGAATTAAAAAGTGAACATTTTTTTATTAATTTAAAGTATTTCTAAATTTTTACCGCTATCGCAGATATTCGCAGTATTATATTACATATGGCTCTTTCAACAGTAATTTTTTTTCAAAGCCACCTAATATGATCTTTGTCTATCTTGTCTTGTCAAAAAATGTTCACCTTTCAATTCTACATCTAAAAGAAAAATAATATACAAGGTGTTGCATTTAAAAAAAATGAGATACAACATTTTTTAAATATTACGATTTTGGTGACGCCATAAAAAATATCCTGTATACGATAAAGTAATTTTTTCTACACGAATTTATTCCGATATCCTTCATGTTTAAGAAAACATAGCATAGTATTAATAAGGTTATATTCACTCTAGTTTTTTACCACTTTTCGTATATAATGTTTTTAACCAAAGTTTTAGTAAATAAGAAATAGATTGGCAACACCGCAGTGTGCTTTAAATAAAGACAGTGTACTATAGCATAATTTTATGCCGAATCCAGTTATCTACAGAAAATTAAACTTGCTTTAAATCAAAAACAAGTCGTAGAAAATCTCTGAAATAGATAATAATATAAAAATATGTCATTACATATTTTTTCCGCATTTCTTCCCATCAGAAGATTTTCAGATACAGAAGAATTGTTACCTACACAAGTTTTTACTCGATGATCATTTTTTTTTTATTTTATTTTATTGTGAACTCATATTTTCCTAAATACATATCTGTGAAACTATGGCGAGTGTCACGTCTATACTTTGCCTAGTTAGACCACAACAATACAGCTACATCGTCGGCTACGGAGGCGAGAACAAGGTCATATAAAGTGGCAGAAAAAGAACAAAGGATTTGACAAGGAGTAAAACTACTAGTTTCCTTATACTATGGTTTAACCTCCCGTTGTTAGATGACAGTACTATTACCTTTTTACATATTTAATCCTCATTTGGCACCATTTACATCTAGGTTACGTGCTCTTCTAAAGTTCCCAGATCCTTTGCAACATCCGGGAATAGTTAAACATGTTATCAAGGGTGGTTATTGGTTTTACAACGTCCCAACGTTTTTATCTAAGGTCTACCTTTAAATATTTTCTATTTACTTCTAAGTTCTACAGTTTATTTGCTTTGTCCTTCTATAAGTTTGGGAATTTAAAAATATTCACGTTTGAAAGTTGTTTGTTTTATTACTTTCTGTTAAAAACACCCTCTATCGAAACTAACAACCGAAAACATCGACTTGAACGTAAAGGACATAGAAAATAATCTGTTAATAATATAAATAATAATATAAAGGAAATAATCTGTTACATGGGCATTTTATTTCATCTAACTATTTTTTGTGTCATAATTCTACGCTTATATCTAGTTACAGTTCTGTAATAATTAAAATATATATTTTTAGTACCGTTGAGTATTTTGAGTAGCGATACTGTGATACTCTACACAGCCACCTAAGTTTTATCAAATAAGAAAGATCTACTGATATTGTTGGATAATACACAATTATTACAAAGTCACGACTTTCAAAAATCTTAAATTTACGGCGGCAAAAAGTAATATTTTTCGTTTGATACATCAGACTACCACAGTATATATCTATCCCGTAAATCCAACGCAGTGTCCACTCCGCATCAGATAGTATATCTCTTCTTGCGGTCCATATATTCCACTTAAGCCTCGTCCGCGTTTTCGGACTGTTACCCCTGTCGGATTGCGACTAATTAATATAAAGATTTGTCGTTTAATCCAGTTTTATTTCGGACGTTGCACTACAGGGACCACCGTCCAGAAACAAATGGGCTCTGACCTTAACCCTCTCGTTCATAAATAACGATTTGTTGATCTGATGCGGTATTTCCGCGTTTGTTGTGATAGTTTGCGGGAGTGGCACC